TATATATATATATAAACATACACCTGAGCGGCCCACCCAAGTAAAGTCTACGTGTCAGAAATACTGCTATCCCTGTATTCCTGTTCTGTTGTATTCTTGTGTGCTGGCTGCTAATGAAACACATATCACAAACACAATAAAATGCAGTTTTTCTAAAAAAGTGTTTGCCAATAAAAGCACATTTAAAAGTTTGTGATGTTATAATGGTCACAGCATGTGCAGTCTGGGAGTTAAGGAGATACCACAAGTATAAAACCAGTTTGTTTGTTTTTTTAGAGGGAAAGGTCTCGTTTTGAAGTGCCCACTCTTTCTCCCCCCTCAAGAGTAGATAAAGCTCCTCTCAGTTGGTCTGACACTAAATCTCTGTGGCAACATGCCCCTCCCTGCCATCACTTGGCTAGACTGACTGACAAGCTGAAAGACTCTTGGCCAACAAGAGGCGCAAATTCCATCTGGGCTTTTAATTAAAGCCAATTATTTTCTTACGTCTCTCCCTATTAATCCCCTAACTGTTAACCTAACACAAACACACTGACCCACACAACTCACACACTTGCAATACACTCACAAATACGTATTCATTCATCACTTCCCACTCAAAAAACCTCACAGACACTCACGCTTGTGTACCCACAATAATTAGAGCTCTCGCTCACACACGAACAAACTCAAGACAGTGTGAACTCTGCGAGATTTACCAGAAAAGAAACTCAACTGAAAAAGAGAAAACTGCAGGGTGTTTTTTCATGACGTATTGCATTTAAAAGTGGAAATCATGAAATGCTTTAGTGGATCTATAAATTAAATAAATTAAACTAGCCAAAGCAATACTGCAAAGTACCAAGTAAATGGTGACCACAGAAACATAATATAAATCTTGAAGAATAAAATTTGTACACACCCTTAAAAAAAAATCATACACTCAATAAATAATGTGAAAACTGTTACATACACATACACACCATATTTCTTTGGAGGAGTAAAGACATCCTTCACAGGTGAATATGGTCCCACCCCAACTTCAGTGCAGGCCCCCATCTTAAAATAATAACGCATCCCAGTCATCAGGCCTTGGACCTCTGCACTGGTAACAGAACCTAAGGAAAGAGAGAGAGATCTATAAGAGAGATAATAACAATTCTCATATGACGTGCAACACCATGTGCTTATTGTTTGTGTGTGTGTTTGTAGATTTACCGTCATGTGTGAGGTTTATCCACAGGTGATCTGGATGGCTGATGTTGCCAGTGTAGAGGATCCAGTAGGTCAAAATGACACCATTTGGCTCCAGTGGAGGGCGCCAGCTCACAAGAACAGAGTATGAGTCCAGTGCACTCAACTGCATATCCAGAGGAGGAGAGGAGGGTCCTGCAGTAAAAACACACATTTAGAGCCGACACACAAGACACCAAAAAAAGGAAAAGAGAAGCATATTAATTAAGCTAATACCATAAATTGGTATTTACATGGTACTTCAAGGTACAGTACTTTCAAAAATGACATGGGACTATGTTTTAAGTGTACTCTGAATTCACTAATATAATACTAAAATACAATTTTGTATTGCTTTTGAAAGTGTAGCTCATTAAAGGGCTTTATTGGATCAAAAATTTAAATGAACTAAACGTAAAAAAATGTACACAGAAATTTAATATATAAACTTTGAAAATAAAACTTGAATGTACACAGACACACGTTAAAAAAAAATCATATATGAAACGTGTAGTGAGGAGATTTTCCACTAGTTAATAGATCGCGGATGGTTTAATTATTTTGGGCGGATAAAATACTTATGAGGATAAAAATAATAAAAGCAAAAAGGTTTCTCCATATTTACTTGGGCGGCCATTAATATACCTGGGCAGCCCGCCCAAGTAAAGTCTATGTGTGGGAAGCACTGACATACAGTATATATATATATAACAAGTATAAAACCAGTTTGTTTGTTTTTTTAGAGGGAAAGGTCTCGTTTTGAAGTGCCCACTCTTTCTCCCCCCTCAAGAGTAGATAAAGCTCCTCTCAGTTGGTCTGACACTAAATCTCTGTGGCAACATGCCCCTCCCTGCCATCACTTGGCTAGACTGACTGACAAGCTGAAAGACTCTTGGCCAACAAGAGGCGCAAATTCCATCTGGGCTTTTAATTAAAGCCAATTATTTTCTTACGTCTCTCCCTATTAATCCCCTAACTGTTAACCTAACACAAACACACTGACCCACACAACTCACACACTTGCAATACACTCACAAATACGTATTCATTCATCACTTCCCACTCAAAAAACCTCACAGACACTCACGCTTGTGTACCCACAATAATTAGAGCTCTCGCTCACACACGAACAAACTCAAGACAGTGTGAACTCTGCGAGATTTACCAGAAAAGAAACTCAACTGAAAAAGAGAATAAAAGACCATACTCTATAAAACTTTCTTTTTCACATATATTAGGTAGAAAGGTTCATTTACAGCACTGAAAGGGGCTGTACTCACTGTCTGGAAGTGTGGACTCCTCCACTGTGCTGCTGAAAGGGCCTCTCATATCAGCTCCGTTAGACTGCACAGCAATTCCATAGCTTGTGAAGGGCTTCAGTGATTCCAGTAAAATCTCCTGAGAAGAGCTGAAATACAGTAAGATACAGAGAAATACAGTCAGAGGACTGGTTGACTGATAAGGAATTATTTAACAGTCAATGTTGCTATCATCAAATCGTTCAAAAAAAAAAGTAAAGTTTTAGAAAGAAGTTTCATATGCTTACCAAGGCTGCATTTATTTAATCAAAAATACAGTAAAGCATTCATATTGTGAAAATTATTACAATTTCACAACATAATTAAAAAAATAAATAGAAATTATGATGATGGTGGCCTCCGTGGCGTGCTCTGCAGTTGTTTTTGTGCTTTTGTTAGTTTGTCCTGTCTTTAGTTAAATCCCTGCAATCAGTTTCACCAGAGACGAATTGCTGGACATTCGGCACTACACATCACCCGATATATTACCGGTTTTCGACTATTCTGATGTTTTGCTGAACATAGCAGTTGGCGGAGCAGCTGCGCTGATCAAGCGCTTCAGGACGCGCAGACGGGGGAAGCGAGCCGGCGCCCTCGTGAAGCTCAGGCAGCGCAGATTTCGAACGCCGTTGCCTAGTATCCATCTGGCGAACCTCCGCTCTCTACCCAACAAAACGGACGAACTCCTTCTGCTCTCCCGGACAAATAAGGTTTTCTCACACTCTGCTGCTCTGTGTTTCATGGAAACCTGGCTGAATGACGCCATACCGGACAGCGCGTTAAATCTGCCGGGCTTTCAGCTGTTTAGAGCGGATCGCGACGCAGAATCAACGGGGAAATCGCGTGGCGGCGGGACATGCTTTTACATCAACGAAAGGTGGTGTACAGATGTAACCGTGTTAAAGAAGATGTGCTGTTCAGATCTAGAAGCGCTTTTCATTAACTGTAAGCCTTTCTACTCGCCGCAGGAGTTTTGCTCGTTCATTCTCGTAAGTGTTTACATTCCTCCGCAAGCGCACGTGAGCTCAGCTTTACAGAAACTCACTGATCAGATCACAGAGACAGAACAACAA